GTCAGTTTCTACCACAAGGGTTCATTCCAGCTTCTTATTTAACATCTATTACAATTCTGAATTTTCGCAAAGCTTTCACCCTAGCTAGAATGGATGCATTGCCCTCAACAGTCCTTTTTGGACGTTTTAAGGGCATTCCCATGCACCTTTGATTATGCCCATGTGGAGATGGCTCAATAGAAACACTAAGCCATATGCTATTATATTGCTCTCTATATAAGGATTCCAGACAGACAGACAGACAGACAGACAGACAGATAGACCCGATACTGAAGAGATTTCCTGGCAGAGAGTGTGACTTCCATCTAATGCTACTCCTTTCAGACAAAGACCCGGAAATATCCTCCCAAGTTGCCCAGTTTTGTGCTACCATCTGTACAATATGCTCCACCATTATTTAGAGTTAAAGTTCCACAACATAGTATCTTACTTTGATATATTATTTTAATTACTAGATTAAATAATATTGTTTTGTTTTATAGATATATATAAATGTAAGATGGTTGTTATTGTATACTTTGATTGTATCTAGCCTTAGGGCTGTAATAAACATGTGTGTGTGTGTTTACTTTAACCATATGTTGTGGTTCATTCTGAACCCATTCCATATGAACCAAGAAGAAATTATACTGAACACAGTTTCCCTTCAGCTGGAAGACAGTTATAAAAGTAGGGATGGTGGAGAATGCTGCTAAGTTCATTTTAATTGGGAATTTCCTGGGCTGTGGATCAGAACATAGTCCACTGTAGTCTTTGGGTTCTGCACCTGCAGAATAGCCTGTTTGGGCTATTCTTGAGCCAGGAATTCTAGAAACAGCTATTTTCATGTCTGATCGGAAGGTAGGAGTGTCTTTTAAGGAATCTATCAGCATCATGTATTTTGAGTGGCATTGGTCAGTGTTCATTTGGCTTTAAAGTTTTTTCAGAAATTGCCGAAATTGTAGCAGCAAGCTTCCTGTGTCCAACAGGCTTTTTTGTGCTTTCTTTGGCTTGGTGAGAGTCATATGGTAGAGTTCTGCCTATGTTGTTAGACCTTTATGAAACAGGCACCACAACTATGTCTCTCTGGAGCTGTCTCTTAGCACAATGTCCCTTAGGAGAATCCTATTAGTAGCATCTAAACTGTCCTTAAAAGAGCTTCCTCATCTTATTTGCTGGTTGCAGATTCTTCCCTTGGCTAACCAAAACTATCTGTAGGGGGAAAACATGGGAAGGAACTACAGTTCTTGTACCATGATCAGGCTCAGCTCAAACAAGGCCTTCATTCTTCTGGCCATGGTAGTTTGCTCACTCTTGCAGAATTCACAGTTGACCATTCAGAGCATCAAAGTTATGGTAAATAATTACTTTTTATCTTCGGATTGAACATTTCTTCAAATAACAAATGTTTATGTTAGCAAAAGTTGCATACAAAAAAAAAAAGAGACACCTTTCTCCAGTTTTAAAAAATCAAATTAAGGAAATGTGTTAGACCGATGCTATCATGTGGCACTCAGTGCAAAGTATTCAATAACCTAAAGCCATCTGCTAACTTTCTGTTTTTAATGATGAAGATGGATTGATTTGGTCTGCCTCTAGATGCTTGAAAAAATGCATGTCTGATTGACAGCAAAATGCATATATGTTGAGTGAATCATCTAACAAGTACAAGAGGATGGCAATGGAACAGAGCAACTTGGAATTTCTTTGAAGTTTTATTTTATTTTTTTTCTTGGATCCAATTCTTAAATTATCTTTTGAGGAGGTAAAATAATTACTTGGAGAAGCCCTGTAGGTGAGATCTGGCAACAGCTGCTTCCCCCCCCCCCCCCGTGCTTTATTTATTGCTTTGTTCACACTGAAGGTGTTACTGCCTTTTTCATTGGGTTTGTACCTGTCTGAAATCTTGAAAAAACTGAGAACTGTTGGTTCCTCCAAAGAATGTAGGTATTGAACTAGCGTCAGGTAATCTACAAACCCTAAAGAAATTGTTGTAGGTTTGAACTGATTTAGCAAGGTCAGTTGCAACCTTTGTTGATTCCATGTTGGTAAACT